ATACACACATTTTCTATGTCTTGTTTCATCAGTTGTGACACTTGTAAATTTGACGCGAGGTACCTGTTATAATTTTCTATTGATTTTTCATCCTCATTGTCATAATTGGTAACGAGAAATGCACAATCTTTCGGATCATTATTTCCTTTTTCGGGTCGATTACTTTGTTTACGCTTTCGACAGTCACGAATCATGTGACCTTTCTTGTGACAATAATAGCACTCAACATTGTTTTTATTGGGCTCTTTATTTTGTCCTTTTTTCTCACTGAAGTTCGATGTTTTCTTTGACGTTTTGAGACTCATTGCTGCTAGAGGATTTGTTGTTTCGTCACTTGCAGTCAATCGAGATTCCTCTTTTATCAACCTCTCCTGTCGTTTTTCTACCGTCTGTGACTCGGGGGTAACGCTATTTCATACTGTCACGAGAGCATTAAACTTTTGAGGAAGACTGCCCAGGATTTTAGCCATTATAGCAACGTCAGATATTTTTTCTCCTACGTCGTTTAATTGTCTCGCCATATTTTGTATTTTAGAAATGTGTTGAACTATTGAGTTACTATAATTCATGCGATATTAACGAAATTTTTGAGTTAAAATGAGTTTGTTGGACGCAAATTTTTGTTCATGAATGGCACTTAATTTATTCTACATTTCATTTACTGTAGCGCAAGTTATAAGGCACTCTAACTGCGAATAATCCATCGCGGAGGACATAATGAACATCGTCCTTGCATTTGATTTTGTCTACGCTTTTGCTTCGTTCGACTCTGGATTTTCTGGTTTAACCGATGTTCCATTAACAATTTCCACTAATCCATACGCGGCGGATATGGAATTTATCTGGAATTTCCACATTTGGAAATTCGATCCGTCGAATCTGGATATGTTTTTCGGATTAAGTTCGTCTCCCATCTTGGTTGTTTACCACGCACGCGAGAATGATAAGTTCGTGACGACTGCCGAGTTAACCGAGAAAAAATGGCGTCTTTGCGTTCCTTTACACGAGACTATACAAATTAAAACAAACGGATTTTCTCCACTTATTGTTCACGGATCACACTGATAGAACGCGACCTGGGCCCAGAACCTATTCGATATTAAAATAGTTATCCAGGTATATCGGAATAAAAAGAGAAAAATATGATCAAAGAAAAACTTTTATTCAAGAGAGCTCGTGAGAATAGAACGCCGAATCGGCTTACATGAGGCGACTGACGATCGCAAGGCGACCACACACGAGTACACTTGTTATAGAGGACAGCATCTGTCCCAGGAGAAGTGAAGCGCGAAATACAAATATTTCATGAAATGATGAAATTTATTACAAAAATTTAACAAAAACTAACAATTCAATGTGTTAATACTAACAACTTGCACAATAATCGAGTACAATTTATCACCATTAAGGTACTACTACACTTTAGACTTTTTAAATTTTTTATTTTTTTATTGTATTTTTTAACTCCTTATTACTTTAGAAAACACCTCCTAAAGTATTCATAACCAATTGTAAAAAATAAAAGTAAATTTTTCAAAAATTATTCAATAAATATAAAGAGCCATTAACAAAATAAGTAATTCTTTAAGGGGATGGTGGGCTCCAGCTTTTTGTTACGACCAGTAGAAACATTAGTGCTAATGTATGTAACAGTTTTTGACATAAAAAAGTGGAGAGGTTTCAATTTGCAAAAGGATTTTAGGTAATTTATGGATGGCCTCTAACGATACATATAAGGTTTAAACGCGTTTTTCTCAAAATAACGTTTTTTCAAATTGCGGACACTTTATCTCTGAATCTACTAAACCGATTTTAATAAATAATAAGTCGTTTTGTTTGTTGGCATGTCCTGTGTGTAAATTTACCAGAAAATAGTCCAAAAATTTAAAAAAAACATTTTTGCGGACTAGAAAAATACTGAAAAACAGTGTATTTAAAAAAAAAAATTATTGAAAAAATCTGTTATTTTTTTATTTTAGTCGATTTTTTATTACTGGTGGTGGATTTCTATGCAAGACACCTTTCTTTTTAACCCCTTCGCAGTCAACACCTAAAATCTCATAAGTGGGCTCAAAATGTCGACAACTTTTTAGAATACTAAAATTTGCGCAAACGAGCATACTATTGTATTTAAAGTCGCTGATTACGAATCCGATATCAGATTTTGAAAATTCAAAATGGCGGATCCAATATGGCGGACATAAAAATTAAAAATCGACTGAATTCACTTGAAACTTTTTACTCGGGGGTTTTCGGGGTCGCTGATTACGAATCCGATTTCAGATTTTGAAAATTCAAAATAGCGGATCCAATATGGCAAATTAAATTTTCTAAAATTCATTGGATTCATTTGAAACTCGTTACTAGAGGGTTTTCGCAGATTACGAAAAACTTTTGAAACGATAATAAATACAAAATTTTCCCTTGCAGCCAGCTGTTAAGTATACTACGTTACTTACGACCCCAGAGTTTACCACGTGGAGGTATGCGGTCGGATTTTACACTCCTTTATTTATTTTGTTTTTTAAATATTTTTTTTGTTTGTTCTTATATTGGATCCGCCATTTTGAATACCGATATTACATTTTTAATCTACGACATCAATAAATCCCAAGTAACAACTTTTAAGTAAATTTGATAAATTTTTTAAAATAGCGCCAGCCATATTTGAACTGCCACATTGTTTTTTGAAAATCTGATGCTAGATTTGTAATCAGCGCCCCAAAAACCGCAGAGTAACGAGTTTTAAATGAATCGGACGAGTTTTTGAAAAAGTCGTCCGCTATATTGGATCTGCCATTTTGAATTTTTAAAATCTGATATCGGATTCGTAATTAGCGACCCCAAAAAACCCCTGAGTAACAAGTTTCAAGTGATTCTGGTGAATTTTTGATAATGTCGTCCGCCATACTAGATCCGCCATTTTAAATTTTTTAAATTTGAAAACGGATTCGTAATCAGCGACTTCGAAAACCCCCGAGTATTAATTTGTGGACAAATCTGTGCGTTTTTTGTAGCCAAAAAACTGCTTGCGTCTATACACGTCATCGACAGTTTGAGCCCACCTGCACCATGATGTGTATACACGTCATCGACTGCCAAGGGGTTAAAAAGCAGTTTGGATTTTTTGTTTCCGATTTGTCAATCTTGAGATAAACTGTCCGCAATTGGACAATTAACTTTTTGTAGTTTCGATTTGGATGCTGTCTGCAGATTATGATATTGCATAAAAATTAAAAACAAACCATTATTTTTATTCTCCAAATATGTACTAATATAGGCAAAAAAGTTTTTTTTCATATTTATAATAAAAGACCGAAGAAATTTTTTTTAAATTTGGTCTTTTAAGGGAACCAAACACAACTTTTGGGTGTTTTTCAACATTTATTTTTTCATAGTAAAATGTATCGAAACACTGGGCTCTTTTTACACATATCAACACACATATTGAGGATTATTAAAAAAATATTTTTTTATTTATTCTGCCCTTCATGGCGACAAAATGGCGGCTGAACTGATTATCCGAAAAAAACTGGTTGACACGATATCTCTGCTTCAAAATGTCGGAAACAAAAAATCCAAAGAATTTCTTAAAATATTTGTCAGTGGCTATGGCTTGAACCACAAAAAATGGATTTGAAAAAAAAATGAGAAAATGGCGGTGGTTTTTAATTTTTTTACCCCTATTTCACCCCTAAAACGATAAAAAAAGGGTTAAAAATTTTCATATGGTCGAACAAATGAGTGACTTTACTCCCTGTCGTCAGCTATCTAAAAGCGCCATTTTTGTGCATGTGGGATAAAAAATATTTTATTCTGAATCCTCAATATGTGTGTCAATATGTGTGAAAAAAGCCCAGTGTTTCGATACATTAAACTATGAAAAAATAAATGTTGAAAAAACACGCAAAAGTGGTGTACGGTCCCCTTAAGAGCCTTCTAAAGTGTAGTAGTACCTTAAAGGAAGAATAATAATTTTAATCATTAATTAACACAACTAACAAAATCCATAAATTCTAAAATTTTGAATTATGAACTTTTAAAGCCTTAATATTAAAATATTAAGGGAAAATGTTAAATAAAGGGAATACGTAAATAATGGGAAATGTTATAATTGTTTAACAAAAATGACTATCTCGCCGCTGCCACCAAATCAGCTCTTACGTTTCGAGCAAGAGCGAGGGTATATTTTTTTTAAATGATTAATAAAATGGAGACAAGTAGCTGATTATAGTAGCGTGGGCCGAAAAATAACTTTTTTTAGAATCCTATTCTAGCAGTGGGGAAATGTTGCCTTTTTTGCTCAATAAAACATGTGCAAAACAACAGCTTGATCCATGGACTTTGTCGATAGCAAAAAACCATAAATATTTATTTTTTGACACAACACAAAAATCATTAATTTTGTTGTTGTTATAAAATTATTACTATTAACAGATTTGTGCCGTCTTTTTAATGATTTAGCTGTTTAAAATACATTAAAAATACACTCTCATACTGCCCCATCGAAGAAATATTTTAGTTTTACTTTTAATTAGCGCTTTTGATAATTGATAACATATTACCTGAAAAATTCAAAACTTACACAGATGTTAATGTACAGGTTGATGATGTTTGTTTTTAACAATTGTCAGTTCGTTTATTAAGGTTTATACACTTTTTAGCAAAACGACTATTAAACTTTATCACGTCGTACAGTTAATTTCTAATTTTTAGAATATTATTTCACACTATATAAGGCCTAAAATGTTAGAGGAATTAGTCTCTTTTAAACAGAAATAAAATAAAAAATTTAATTAAAAATAATTAAAAATAATAAAATAATTAAGGTAATATTACTAATGATTACTAATTTGTAATAATTTGATTTAAAATTTATCGTAAATAACAAAATTTTTATTTTTACGGTTGCAGCACGTAACAAAGCGGTCAGTTTGAAAAATGCTGACCCTTCAATATTTGAAAAAGAAAGAAATAGAATTTTAATGTTTTATTTTTACCTGTATATTGGGATTCCGTCATTATCCTTAAACCATAGTACCATACTAATTGTGTCTCCTGGTGTAGGAGGAGAAATATCACATGGTAATTCAACATTATCACCTTTATCTGCCCATACAGATTTCATCGGTACTGAAACCAAATTATTATTAAATGTATGTATGTATTGGTAAGTTGACAAATGCGTCACTTTTTCGTTTTCTTAACTGACCAACACTGCTAAATGAAATTTTAAACTTTTTTGCCATGTGGACAATCTTTTTGAAACAATCCGAAAATTTTAATTAGCATGGTTGGTCAGTTGACAAAAAAATTACTCATTTTTCTGGTTGTTCATTTGACAAGCGCCACATTTGGTAACTTCTCATCAAGGAGGAATCTTACAATGAATGTGGCTAAAAGTTTATGACGTGCATGGAAATATTCTTTTTGTAGTAATATATAGTGTAATATAATTTTTTTGGAAAATAACTTAATAATTGGCTAAATATTATTAAAAAATATAAATTGCTTATGTAAAATTTCGTTTAATATAAGAAATTAATAATTTTTGTTGTAAAAATTATCTTTTATCAGTGACTATACGTATCGGAAACGTATGAAAACGAAATTTCTTAAAATTTAATCCTTTAATAATTTGTTAAAAGGGAAAAAATATATTTTCTCAATGGTTAATAATAAATTACATATCATAATATGTAATTATAATATATATTTTTACTTTAATGTTATTGTTTTTTTAAATTAAAATTAATCGAAAAACGTGTCAATGTTGCAGAATCAAATTTTTTTCTTATAACGTTGGTAATCATGGTATTCATGATTATAAGGTTAGGTGTACATGTTGTTTGTGTTTCTGCACTTTTCTTATTTGGCTAATTTTGTATCATTAAATGTAAAAGAGTACTTGCGAGAAAAAAAAACAATTTGGAACATATGCGAGGGATGCGAGGCATATGGGCAAAAATGTGAGGTTAATAACAAATCGACTGAAAATTGGGGAGACTAGGTGCAGTTGTTACAATTTTGATAAAAACAGTTACTGTAATTAGAGTTTAAATTGTAACAACTGCACATAGTGAATGACGGTTGTTACAATACCAAGAATCATCTACAACATTTCTAAATTGAAGACAAATAATTTCTTATAACAACTTTTATTAATTATTCATAATTTTTGATTCAACGTAATAGTACGTGACAGTTCCATAGAGATGGCAGTATTAATATTGTTTCGAAATGAAAGAAATTTAAAAAAGTTTTTTTTTCATTAATTTTGAAGACGAATTTAGAAAAACCATGAGATTTTTCATAAAAAATGAGTGTGATTACATTTTTGACAAATATTTTACATTTCAAACGAATCTGATGAATTTTGGAAAAAATATCCGTTCTCATTATCACTTGTACCAACTGCACAACAGGTACATTTTTTACAATAAAACACTTTATTAAAAAAGTATGCACTAAATGTGGATAACCAAGGTAGTTTTTTAAAGCTTAATCCTCATAGAATTGATATTACAAAATTTACTTTGTTAAGTATAAAGGTCTATTAATTATTTAAAAAATATCAAGCAGAGAAATATTTACTTTTTGCCTCTAAAAACCAATGTGCCAATTTTTTTACTTGTAAAGCTTGCATATAATTTTTAAACATATTGCAGTAAGTTCGTACATAAAAACTAAACATTTTTGTTGATATTCTTAAATCTATTATCGGAAGAGTAATAAATGAAACACTATTTCATTAGTTGCGCAACGTTTTGGCGTCTTGGTTTGACACCATGATCCGGCAACTTTATTAAACAATGAAATTTTTTATAAACAATTAATTTACACATAAAATAAAATTAAGATTTTTAACACAAATTAAACAAAATAATATCTACCTAGTCATTAAAAAAAAATATTATATAAATTATTTAAAAAAACTAATTTGTTACATTTGTAACGCGTTTAGAAATAAAAACAAAAAAATTGAATCTGTGGTAAATGAGCATCAAACTACGCTTAATCATTCTTTCAATTTTAATAAAGTCAAAATTATAGACCTAGAATCAAATTATAAAAAACGATTAATTTCAGAAATATATATTGAGAATTAATTACTAGAAAATGAATTTTGTAAAAATTAAAAAACAGGATTAATTAAACTGATAAAATATTACCTTTCAAAAGGTGTTAAAAAGCAGGGAGTTCAAAAAAAAGTTTTAATAAAATTTGTTTATATTTTGAAACAAGTCATAATTAAATCGAACTATTTGTTAAATTTGGCCATAAGAAAGTTAAAATTTTCAAAAAATTGTAGTAAGGTTGACAAAATATTAATTTAAATTAAATTTTGTTACTAAAAATGTATTTTTCCTAAAAATAGAAAAAAGTTAAACAAAAGTGCGGTACATAAAATTACTTATATCACAATGATTTTATCTGACAATGAAACTTGTTTCCACCCTGGTAAAAATTTCGGACTAATTCCGGATTAAATACGGACAAATTAGTACGGATTAGTCCGAAAATTGTACGAAAAAGGTCCGAAAATGATCCGCGCTAGTCTGATATCAATCCGAACGAAAACCTGAATCCGAAAACACTCCGAAGTTATCCTGAATGTCAACGAATTTAGTCCGTTATTAGTCCGCAACAATCCAAATTTATGACCGGTGAAGAATTCTTCTAAAATAAGTACGGAATCATTCGAAATCAATATGTAAAGAATACGGAATCAGTCCGCAACAATCCGAATTTAATCTAGTTGAAAAAACTTAATCCGCAAAATGTCCGGAGCAATCCGAACTCTGTAAGCTAGAAATCCGGTATTAGTCCGCAACAATTTGAAATTAAGTGTGGCAAAATCCTATTCTGAAACAAGTACGAAACAATCCGAAAACTGTATGCAACAAATCCTGGAATTGTCTGCAACAATTCGGATTTAATCCAATTAAAAGGCATAATCCGAAATGAATTTTCGAAATAGTCACGTAGTACTGATTACCGTACATTTTACCGAATCCACTTTACCGAACGTCTTTTTTACCGAATTACTTTTTTACCGAACGCCGTTTTACCTAATGCACTTTTACCGAATCCAATTTACCGAATGAATTATTACCGAATTTTAGGCGATATTCCCGATCGCTTTCAAAGAACACTTGCCGGAGAAAATTTTTGATTCTCGATTCGAGAGAAAATGGAAGAGTCCTTGTCTTCTCTACACGTCGAAATCTGGAGCTTTTCAGTAGAAGTGACTGTTGGTTTCTGGACGGAACCTTTAAGGTGATTAAATAAATAATTAAAATAATATTTTGCATAGTTTTTAACTATTTTTGAATTATTTGTAATTTTTATGAATTTATTATTTAGGTGTGTCCAACTCGACGGCTCCCGTTGATATGATCTTGTTTCAATTGTCAAAATAATAAAATCGTCTTTGGAGCTCAGTTCAATATGATCTCTATTCAATTGTCAATTTAATATAATCTCGCAAAAGTTTCCGTGTAATAAAATCTTAATTCAGAGTAATTTTAAATTCACTTAAAAAATAAAATATTAATTCGTTTTTAATATTATTTTAGGTTTTATAATGATTAAATAATTATTAATAAAATAAAATATAGAAAAATAAATGAAGAAAATTATAAAATAAATAAAAAACGATATAAATTAATTAATTTTTAACAATTAATATACGAAATAAAAATTAGAAAAAAAATAAAATTATACGAAACTAATTAATAATAAAAATACTAAATAAACTAAAATTAAGTAAAATTTCATTACGTTTTAATTATATTTTATTTTGTTAATAATTATTATTTTAAATTTCTTTGATTTATTTTATTAATTTTACTATTATTGTAAGTTAATTATTCTATTTATAAAAATATTTATTTTTTATTATTTATATTACCTACATTATACCTAAAAAAGAATTTCAGTTGAAAAATGTAGTGTACCTAATATAATTCTAAATATATTTTTTAAATATTATAGATACCTAATACCCATTTTATTATACTTTGTTAATTTTTTTTTAATTAATTAATTTTATTATTTTTTGCAATATTATTTCATACTTTTTAATGAATAATGAATTTTATTAATTAAAATTAGTTAGTTTTGTATTTTTATTATTATTTAGATTTGTATAATTTTATTATTTATTTTTCCATTTAATTAATTATTAAATTAATTATTGAAGTGTATGAAATAATATTACAAACGAATTAATATTTTATAGTTATTAATTTATTATTTTTCTGATATTTTTAATATTTTTAATAATTTTAATAATTTTCTTCTTTTATTTTTCTATATTTTATTTTATTAATAATTATTTAATCATTATAAAACCTAAAATAATATTAAAAACGAATTAATATTTTATTTTTTAAGTGAATTTAAAATTACTCTGAATTAAGATTTTATTACACGGAAACTTTTGCGAGATTATATTAAATTGACAATTGAATAGAGATCATATTGAACTGAGCTCCAAAGACGATTTTATTATTTTGACAATTGAAACAAGATCATATCAACGGGAGCCGTCGAACTATTTTCACCCAAATATTCACAATACTGGGAACAGCTAACAGAAATATACGTGGTAGTCGAGATATTGTCAGTATTCCCCTTGTTTACGCATTTCTCTCGTCGAAGGAAACCGTACAGTATGCTGCAGTTTTGCGTGCAGTCAAATCAACAGCAGAGGACTTTAGGATAATTAATTGCCAACCGAATAAAATTATGTGCGACTTCGAGACGGCTATTTTAAATGCTTGTTTGGAGGTTTTTCCCGACATCCAGATTTCTTGTTGTTTTTTCCACCTCTCGCAATCGATGTATCGAAAAATTCAAGAGAAGGGATTGCAACAGGAATACAATAATCCCGATGATCGAGATGTAAAAATCTACACGCATATGATCTTGGCGCTTGCTTATGTTCCTGTGGAAGAAGTCAGTCGGGCATACAGTCTTCTGAAAAATGAGGTACCTGAAAATCTTATCCCAGTAATGGAATATTTTGGGGAAACCTACGTCAACGGAAGACCGGCAAGGGGCAGGAGGAGAGCAGTTGCACCCCGATATTCACCGGCGATTTGAAATCAGCATATTGCTGCACTTAA